AAAAAAAAAAAAAAAATGTACAGGCCCGTATCGGCATTAATGTTTCTAAGGTTATGTTGGACCAAAAAAATGCGTTTCTTTCACTCTTCTGTTTTTCATGAATTATATAAACATTTTTGTAATTTTTCTTAATATATTCAGGCAACTTGGCATTTCTAGTTATTAGATTGACATACATTTTTTTCCATCAGATTATTCATATATTTTTTGAAGGTTACAAAGGTAATAATAAGGTCTTGTGCTGGATTCCAACACTATTGTCTTGAAATTTGGATATATTTTTTTTAAGAGTATTTCACTGAGTGCCCTATAAAGGGGTTAAGATGCTTGAAGAGAGTCAGCAGAGAAGAGAATAGGTTAAAAACTAACAAGGACCTTTGAAAAAACAAATCATGTTACCTTCACCATGTTGGAGGTCATGACCTCCATCACCTGTGCTCTGGCCATCTCGTCTCCTTCTTCCACTTTTACTGCCACCAGCTGACCAACCTCTGGGTTAGAGACAGGATGTCTCCTGGAGTTTTGGCTGTAGAAGGTTTGCATCATATCCTCCATGGTTTTCTGAGCATTTGAGTAGTTGTCACCAACATACCTGAAGAGGGACAGAGGTCTCAGACATAGACACCAAACATTTTTAGGATTGCTGCGACTCCTGTTTCAAAACAATTCAAGCTGAACATTCATGCTTGCAGGACACGGGCAGAGCAACGGTTTTAAGTAAACACCACAAGCGAGAGCTTGAGATGTAAGCAGCAATCTGTCACAAATAGTTAGAGGATCTAAATGAGAAGAAGTAATGTTAGGAGCAACAGGGTTCTTCCACTAAATAAAATCCCTTTTTTTAAACACAGAACTTATTTTCTCTTGCAGCAATCTTGAATTGTAGGTAAAGAGGAAGCCCACCTTAAATGCAACTTTTTATAGGGTGTATAATGGCAAGACTAGGAAGTATCAGCACAGCCATTATGATGAGGTGATGAAAGGATTACATTTAAACTGCAGGAATAAATTACAATTTATTCCTGCATTCATATGATTTACACTCTTTAATTGTTTCTTTTATTCAGCAACACAAAAATGAGAATGAAGGGGTTTGAAAACCAATTGTCAAGCACTTCTAACTTATTTCCTGCCCTCTAATTGCTTTAAAATAAACAAATACAGCAGTATAGCAAATACCTACACGAAAGTGAAACAGTAAATGGACAGAGCTTGCTTAGCTCTTCTCCATCCATACTAACATATAGTCCCATCTGCCTAGCTATGCTTACAATGCTTTCACTTACATAAAAGCTAAATGGTAAAAGTTTTATGGCTTGTTAAAACTGATACTTTCTCCCAAAGCTTACATTTTCATTCATGCTAAGCAGGCAAAGCAATCATTTGATCAATTAACTGACAGATCTAAAAAAAAATGAAGGAAAGTCAATCCAAAGGACCCAGATAGCAATAAAATAAAACTATAAAATGTAAATCTACAAAAACCTGCAATATAAGGTTCAATTATTATTCAGTGAAGTCTACAACAGTAATGAGAGGGAAACTGTGCCGCACCGGATGGTGATAGCTGTGGTGTTATTGGCCTCGGTGACCAACACTGAAGGACAGTGTTCAGTGGGATGGGTCAGAGGTGGAGGAACCACAGGGCCCAGTGTCTCCAATCCAGAGGGTAGTGGGTTGTTTCTGGTCTGCTGGCTGTTAGTAACGCTCATGTCATCTTGGCAGAAGTTATACAGAATGGCCTTGAAAAGATCCAGGGACCAGAAAGAAAGAGAGCAAAACAAACGCAGCATTAAATAAAAAAAAAACCCAAAGTAATTAAGATAACAGCAGGAAGTGTAAACAATTAGAGCAGTTGAGTATTTGTTAATTCTGAGTTTTCAGCTGAAATAAAGTCGGTTAAGATGCTGTAAAATATACAATCCAACTGTGTAACACCTGATCAGACACTTTAAGGCTTCAATGTTTTTTGATACCAACTAAACACCACAACGTCTCTTACCTTCTTCTTGTTTTGTGGGAAGGGGTACTCGACCGTACAGACACCACACAAAACTGACAGGTTATCCAGAATCTCTTCAGGGAACGGCATCTTGTACACGTCCATAAAACATTTGGGCAATGCATCAGCCCACAGACCTTGACTGCACTTTGAAAGAAGGTCCTTTAATTTTTGACGCACCTCATCGGAGAGCGCGACAGGACAAGGTTTCAAGGGAGAAGTAGGAGCAGAGGCGGAAGGTGAACTGAACGTGGCTTTCAAGAGCGGTAAAACGTCCCGGTCAGCCTGGAGTAAAGAAGAGGCAGAGGAAGTGCTGGCAGGCCAGGTAGGGGCTAAGGAGCGTGTCTTTCTACAAGGAGTGTCTGTGGGCAAAATGCTCCTTTCACAGTTATCCTTTGCAGAGACTGTGCAATGAGGAAGTCGGGAGGGCAGAGCAGGGTTTGGGGCGGGGCTGCGTAACGTCACTGACGGCAGAACTTTGCCTGCAGGAGCTTTAGCAGTTAAAGGGGGCAACATTCCACTATGCTGATTGGAGGATGAGGATCCTGAAGAGGAGCTGGTGCAGTTAGCAGGGCTGGTAGGGGATTTGGAAGGCAGGGGGGGGTAGATGAGTCTGTCACTGTGGTTAGTTATACAAGCTTTCTCCACCTGAAATTAGACAAAAAAATGTCAGTATCGGCTGAAACCTTTAAAAACATAAATGTTAAAATAGTACAGGGCAATGAATAAATATTTTACATTTAGTAAAGAAATGTTGCTTAATTATTGTTGCTTATAACCAAATTTCCTGAATGTTACGGGCGCCGACATGTTGATTTGCTTGTTTACCTCTAGAGAGCAATAGTACTGTAGATAGTCACTAGGAGGCGAGGAACTTTGCTAGCGTGATGTGTAAACGGTTGTAAGGAATCAAGCTGGGCACGGTTAACTGATCCAAACTCTGTCTGAAATTTGCATTGGAGGGGGAATAAGTCGAAGGGTAAGTGAGACTAAGAATAGTCAGGGAGTGAGGGAGGAGATGCGATGGAGGTGGATGGAGAGAGAAACTAGGAGCTAAATGAACCTTAGAACCAAAAGGAGAGCTTTAACAGTCATAACAGTATTTGCTCCAGACTCACCATACAAACATGTGGCCACCTCTCCAAATCAACCAGAGCCTGAGGATGAAGCTTCTGACAGAACATCTCATTGTATTTACTTGGCAGCTTGGACATCCACACCCCGTAAGGGCAGCTCTCCAACAGCTGTTTCACCCTGCTCTGCACCATTTCCACATCATATGGATCCAGAGCAACCTGAAACACAAAAACACATCAAAATCAATCTAATACACACACAGTGATGAAGAATTTTAAAATAAATTGTTAGCAGTTTATTGAAATCCATTGGTCAGTGAGACTATTAACTTCATTGGAGGAGACTGAATGAGTAAAAAAGGTGCTAAGATGGTCCCTTTGTGATAAGGATGCCTTTTCCTGATCACACAGCGTTCATACAGATGAGACAGAGAAATTAACAATTTTGCTAGCTGGATTAGTTAAGCATCAGAATTTTCTGCATATCAGTGATGAACTTGTACCACAATGTGATACTAAAGGTGAAAATGGTTTCTATAAGTGACCACTAAAACCATTATTACCTCAGTGTCCTGGGAAGATAGAGGAACTGTTTCTTCCGTTGGAGGATCTGCTAACAATCGAAAAAAAAAAGAGATAAAGTCATCAACTTCTATCATTAGTTGGTTTTTAAACGTAAAAAATACTGAAGTTGAGTTTAGAGAAAATTAAAAGAAAAAACTTAAGGAGACATTTCTGCAGATGTAGAATGCATCAAGAATATAAGTCTATTTTAAGCAAAAATACATTTAAAAGTTTAAACAGATTGGTAGTCACTCTGTTAAAGATTATGGTGGGTCTACAAATGGCAGGTTGTCAGAGAGTTGCGCAACCATGAAAATACAAAAAAAAAAAACAACAACCTCAGAAATATTGATCTGTGCAGCTTAAAGGCTGATTTATACTTCGAAACTAGGTCATCTGCATAGGTGTTGCAGTGAATGCAAAGACGTCGCCGCCCCTTCCACAGACTGCACCTCACCCAAAGTGTAGGTGACTGCAGACAGTGCCGCAGACAGGAGGCCCCTCATAGGTCCAATCTACATCCGCTTGCCGGCTTGTTTTGCTGGTATGACCGCAATAGGGGGTTTTCAGTGACGTCACTGGCCAGCTTCCGGTCCGCCATCTTGGGTGGCATATTATCGTATATCAAATATATCATGTCGCGAATGGATAAGTACGCCAGCACGCTAGAGCCACCAGATCA